AAACTAGTACTTGTATGTTTTCACAGAAATAGAAGTGTTGCTTTAAATAAATACAGATGTATTTCAACAGAATAAAATGTCTACGTGTGTATATCACACAATTTTGTGTTTCTCTTTTTGTCTGTATTGTGCCCATATTTAGGGACCTTGGTGAAGTAATCATGTTGCCCAATTGACCCTGGTACCATTATGTGGTGGGGTCTCTTCATCAGCTCTTGCTTTATACTGGATGCTCTTTGGTTTTTGTTGTTGTTTTTTAAGTGGGGAGTCTTTAATAATTTTCCTATCAGTCATTCTTCTGTTCTTGCCAAACCCCAGCCCTTTGACTCAGCATAGAAGTTGACATGAGCTCTTTGTTAGGATGTGTGTCCAAGAGCTGGATTCTCTTATCTGGTCTTAGGAATTCTAGATATTTCCAAAATTTCTCAAAAGGCCTGCTTACTTATTACAGCTTTCACTCCTTTGCTGTGCTGGTGTGTGGTTATGCTAATTTGGACTCTTTACATTTGGATTTTGAACTACTACTGTCCCTTATTTGTAAATCTCCCTTTCTTTGGTTTCCTAGATACTCCTCCTGGTCTCTTATGTTTAGAGAAGTTCTCTCAGGCTCCATAGTCTGGGCCTAGTCTCCTGCCATTATCTCAAGATACTGCTGTTCCCACAACTGCTGCTGCTGCTTTTTTTTTTTTTTTTTTTTTTTTTTTGAGACAGAGTCTCACTCGGTCATCCAGGCAGGAGTGCAGTGGTTCGATCTTGGCTAACTACAAGCTCTGCCTCCCAGGTTCACGCCATTCTGCTGCCTCAGCCTCCTGAGTAGCTGGGACTACAGGCGCCTGCCACCATGCCTGGCTAATTTTTTTTTTTTCTTTTTTTTTTAGTAGAGATGAAAGTGCTGGGATTACAGGCGTGAGCCATCGTGCCCGGCCCCCACAGCTTCTTTTTTGGGCTCTTCTAGAACTCTATTTTTTATATATTTGAAAATTCTGTTTGTGGAAACTTACTCATATGTGTATCTGCCAAAATGGACAATTCCAGCTTTATGTTCCACAGTCACTTTAAGCACAGAATAAACGAAATTCAACTCATTAACTCCTGCCCAACTCATCCTTTTCCTTGTATTCCTGTTTCATTTACAGACTTCCTTGTTGCCGCACAATAATGTTAGTTTGTAAAAAATTAGCTGGGTGTGGTGGCGGGTGCCTGTAGTCCCAGCTACTCAGGAGGCTGAGGCAGGAGAATGGTGTGAACCTGGGAGGTGGAGCTTGCAGTGAGCTGAGATCCCACCACTGCACTCCAGCCTGGGCAACAGAGCGAGACTCCATGTCAAAACAAACAAACAAACAAAAAACCGAACCGACTGGGCATGGTGGCTCAGGCCGGTAATCCCAGCACTTTGGGAGGCCAAGGCGGGCAGATTACCTGAGGTCAGGAGTTCAAGACCAGCCTGGCCAACATGCTGAAACCCCGTCTCTACTAAAAATACAAAAATTAGCAGGGTGTGGTGGCAGGCGCCTGTAATCCCAGGTACTTGGGAGGCTGATGTAGGAGAATCGTTTGAACCTGGGAGGCGGAGGTTGCAGTGAGCTGAGATTGCGCCATCCAGCCTGGGAGACAGAGCCAGACTCTATCTCAAAAGAAAAAAGAAAAAAAAAAAAAAACCAAGAATTTATATCCAGCCAAGATGTTCTGCAAGTAAAAATACTGCCTTTCAGATTTCATGGAATATAAATAAAGCAATGATCAGAAGAAATTTCATAGCCTTAAACAGTTCTACCAATAAAAGTGAATGAATGAAAATAATTGGCACTATGACTGTACCCACAAGCAAGGCATACAGACACTATGGGAGCTGCCCTCCCTCTTTCTGGTTTGTTTCTCTATTACTATTATTAATAGACACAAAGACTAAATAGCAATAAAGGCCAAAACGAGCAAAGAAAGTGGCAGCCCTTGAATTTGCAAATATGCACACACTCTCGGGTGAGGTTCACTGGTCTGCGGGAAAGGGCCAGGGGTTCTCCAGTCCACGAATGCGGGGGCCAAAGAAGTCACGCCGGCTCCTGCTGGCGGCAGACTTCTATGCATTGGTACTGGAAGGGGGAGGGCAGTGGGTGGGATAAGGGCATGATAGGGGCGTCTCCATAGGCATGGCCAGGTAAGTTTCGATCTCTTTGGATTGACGTCACCTGGCGCACGCTCGGTTGATCTGCATCTTCCCGGGCGTGGGCTGCATTTTCCCACCCGCAGGAAAATTGGTGAGGTGAGGAAGAACCCGGAAGCAACATGGATTGTGCCTTCTTGTTCACCTTCCTCCATCTTGTCCTTTCTCCCTCACCCAAACACTTTCTCCCGGTGGTTATTAACTAATTTCCAATTAATTACAAAGTCACATTATACTTCTTTCCCCCACTGCTATTGCTTTCATATAAATGTTTTTCTGATTTTTCTAATGTGCCATTTGCTACTTCTACATTAAAGTTTTCTCCTAAGCCACTCATTTACCCCTGTAACTCCAGTGCTTACTTGACACATCTCTTCAGTGGCTCCTAGTGTCTGTATTTTCATCTACACAGTGAATGGTGACCATCCCAGAGATATATAAGACATTTCACATAATATGAAATAGCAGAATATCTATTTATGTTTTCTCTTATATGAACAAAAGAAACTTGTTAAGTTTATTATTATTATTATTATTATTATTGAGACGGAGTCTCGCTCTGTCACCCAAGCTGGAGTTCAGTGGTACGATCTTGGCTCACTGCAACCTCTGCCTCCCAGGTTCAAGCCATTCTCTTGGCTCAATTTCCTGAGTAGATGGGACTACAGGTGCGTGCCACCACGCCTGATGAATTTTTGTAATTTTTAGTAGAGATGGGGTTTTGCCGTGTTGGCCAGGCTGGTCTCAAACTCCTGCCTTCAGGTTATCCACCTGCTTCGACCTCTAAAAGTGGTGGAATTACAGGCGTGGGCCACTGCACCCAGCCTATTTTTTTTTTTTTTTTTTTTTTTTAGGTAGAGTTTCGCTGTGTCTTACTGCAGCCTTGACTTCCCAGGTTCATGAGATTCTCCCATATCACCCTCTCAAGTAGTGGTGTTACAGGCCTGAGGCACCACATCCACCCCCTTAATTCTTAATAAACATTAATGCATGCAAATGTATGTAATATATTAATAAGCAGAGATTTATTTGTTAAGTGTGTATGCAAAATATACTTTACTGGTCCAAAAGACAGATTCAGAATTTCTTCTTGTCCTGACCCTTGACTTTACACTGTAACCTTCTAACTAATCTTGGTCCTATGCCCTACCATAGGTATGTACCTACCAAGGTATATACCTACTATAGGTATATACCTACCAAGGTATATACCTACTATAGGTATATACCCACTGTAGATATCATACCTACCAAGTTATATGTGGTTTCCTAAACTTGCCATTTCTATGCATCCATGCCTTTGCCAATTGTGTTTTCTTTATTCCTAAAGTTAGTCAGTGGTCTCATATTGTGTACATGTTTCTATCATGGCACCTGCTTCACATACTGTGTTTTAGCATTTGTCTCATATTGTGTACATATTTCTATCATGGCACCTGCTTCACATACTGTGTTTTAGCATTTTCACCTTTGTCTCCCTGGCAAAATATAAGCTCCTTGATCACAGGAATAGAGTCATGTGTCACTTAGTGATGGGGATATGTTCTGAGAAAGGTATCATTAGGTGACTTCATCATGCAAACATCATAGAATGTCCCTACACAAGCCTAGATAGTACAGCTGACTGCACACCTAGGCTATGTGGTGTCCCCCATTGCTCCTAGGTTACAAACCTATATAGTATGTTACTGTACTGAACACTGTAGGCAATTTGTAACACAATGGTAAGAATTTATGTATCTAAACATAGAAAACAGACAATAAAAATACTGCATTTTCTTACAGGATCTTCATCATATATGGATTCTGTCATTAACTGAAATGTCATTATGCAGCATGTGACACTCGTTTTTTTTTCTTCTTTGTATCTTCAGTAGAGTTCCAGGCATGGAGTGAGAATTCAGTAAATATGTACTGAACAAATATTCCTTCTATGAATAAAGCAGGGTACAGCATGGCACATATTCTAACTCTCCAGAGTGAACTTTGCAGTTAGTACACTAAGAGCTAGCTCACATGTCTTTTCAATGGTATGCTATCTATTCTGGTTACTTTAGATTAAACTGAAGTTTGTTATTCCAGTGACCCATGACATTAAAGGATGTTATTGTGGAATTCACCAAGGAGGAATGGAAGTTACTGACCTTTGCTCAGAGGACTCTGTATAAGGATGTGATGCTGGAAAACTATAGTCACCTGGTCTCAGTGGGTGAGGAAAACTTCCACAGGTGTAAATCCCGCTAGTTTGCATCTCCCTTCTTGGTTGCTGGAATGTAAGAGGTCCCTATAGGGTTGAATGATTGACATTAGCTATGATTCAGAGGTTGAAGTTAATAAATCCATTTTGGGTACTAGAAAAAATATTTGTGTCCCTGTCTCCCCACTGAAAGAATCTAAATTTGCCAAGCCTAACTGCAACCTTATTCATTCTCCTGAAACTCCACTTCCTCATCTTTCACAGTCCCTAAATTCCAAACGATTTGTATCATTTCCTTCATATTTTCATTCATAGGTTACCATGTGAATAAACCAAATGTGGTCTTCAAGTTGAAGCAAGGAAAAGAGCTGTGGATATTAGAAGTAGAATTTCCACATCGGGTCTTGCCCTGTGAGTTAGAAGAAATTATATCCCATGTTACTGGTGAGTGGTTGGTGCCTCTTGCCTTCTGAAATATATTTTTCGGCAATCTCTCACTTTTTTTTTTTTTTTTTTTGGAAACAGAGTTTCACTCTTGTTGTCCAGGCTGGAGTCCAATGTTGCCATCTCAGCTCACCGCAACCTCCACCTCCCAGGTTCAAGCAATTCTCCTGCCTCAGCCTCCCGAGTAGCTGGGATTACAGGCATGCACCACCATGCCTGACTCATTTGGTAATTTTAGTAGAGACGGGATTTCTTCATGTTGGTCAGGCTCGTCTCGAACTCAGGCTCGTCTCGACCTCAGGTGATTCACCCTCCTCGGCCTCCCAAAGTGTTGGGATTACAGGCGTGAGCCACCGCGCCCGGCCTTGGCAGTCTCTTTATAAATGCCTTATAGTTTTGGCAACGATTAAGGACACTTGATTTGCACATGTTTAAAAAACCTAAGTCATACCTCCAATTTTTGTTCTCTCCACTTAAATTCTTTCCATTGCTAGACATGTTTTAAATAGATTTACTTCTCTTTCCTATATACAAACTCTAATCCCTCCTTACCCTTGTAAGATTTTTTTTGTCTTTTTCTCTAGAATCACCAGTTACTCCCTGCCATTAGAGTATGCAACTATAAAGTGTTTGTAAATCTGACTTATAACGTTTTTAAATGGCATCTCCCTCCTTTTATTAACAACAAAATACCTCAGTTATTTTGGCACCAATTTTAACTTCCCATTTTTTCTTTAAACTCTGAGCTCAGATTAGAAATCGTTATGCCGCTCATCAATTCTTTCATTTCAGTGTTGCTGCTTCCTGCTATGCAGTGTTTATCCTTCCCACAAAGCACTGCTTAACCTCCCTAAAATCTACTGCACCTTATTTAGATAACACTACAACAATCTCATCCTGCCTCCTTAAATGTTTGTCATGTATTTTCTAACTTGTGCACAGATGTGTTGCCAGTATCAGGAACAATGCCTAGTACATATTAGTTGCTCACTAGATATTTGTTGAAAGAAAGAATATTAATTAACAAGAGACTGGCCGGGCATGGTGGCTCACGGCTGTAATCCCAGCACTTTGGGAGGCCAAAGTGGGTGGATCATAGTGAGACTCATGTTCATGAAAAAAAGAAATAAAACATATATAAAATAATTAACAACAGACAGACACTCTCTACTTTCTGCTCTGTGCTTTTTAGTTAGTCCTGTAAGAGCTCATCCATTCTTAAGGCCAATGCACTGGTTTTTATGATGAGGACTCCTAAAATTGACCTCTCCAGCATCTTTGCCGTGTTTATATTCTGATCCTGTATTTTTACCTTCTTATAAGATAGTTCTGCTTATTCTACTTCCTTCCTTGTTAGGCCAAAACAAAAATTGTTGATTTAAATTCCCACAGTAGCTGTGTAATGCAGCAGATGTACATTGCCAGAAGCCTGCATGGTATGACTAATACTGACTCAGTATTAAGTCATTTAGTATTAAGTCATTTAGACAAAATAAAAATCTTACAAGGGTAAGGAGGTATTAGTAATATTCATTTAAATGAATTTTCTGTCAAGAACTAGTCTGGCCCTCTCCTGCCTATGCAACTTATTTCTCCTTGTGGTCCCAAGACACCTGTTAATCTCCATTTTACTCTGCTCTTAAATGTTTTCCAAACATAAGATTTTTTTTTTTTTTTGAGATGGAGTTGTACTCTGTTGCCCAGGCTGGGGTGCAGCGTTGCGATCTCAGCTCACTGCAACCTCCACCTCCCCAGTTCAAGCGATTCTTCTGCCTCAGCCTCTTGAGTAGCTGGGATTACAGGTGCCCACCACCACGCCCAGCTAATTTTTGTATTTTTAGTAGAGGTAGGGTTTCACCATGTTGATCAGGCTGGTCTCAAACTCCTGACCTCATGTGATCCACCCACCTTGGCCTCCCAAAGTGCTGGGATTATAGGCATGAGCCACCGTTCGCGGCCCATACATATGATCTTATGTCATGTGTATCTGAGTTAACGTTGCATAAGTCCCTGTCAAGTGACTTTTCTTATGTATTCCCCACCATTGCTATGAAATTCCAACCCCAAGCCTCTACTGATAATCTTTCACTTGCTTTCATGGATTTAAAGATGCATAAATATGAAGGTCACTAAAGATTCTAGAATGATGTTTAATAACTGAACCTTTAAAGATGCTGTAGTAAATTGGAAGCAGAGATGGAGAAAGCAAGAGATGAAATCAAAATTCAAGACTAGTGCTGAGTCATAAGTAACAAGTGCTTTAGAAGTGCAGGATTTGGTGGTCAGGATATGTTCAGGATTGAAAATCTCTGATGTTACAACTAGGAATTCATCCTCATATAGATGGCTTATTCTGATGCTTTTGAGAAAATCTTTCCTTTTGGACATATGTGGTCCTCCATCTTCCTGTCCTGAAAACAAAGCCAGCTAGATGGAGAGTGAAAGCCCAAGCTACAGGACTCTTCCTCTAAACCTGAGGAAACTGATGTTCTGAGAAAGTCCCTTTAGTATTGACACATAGATTGCTGTAGATGGATGAAGAGGAAATAAAGTAGAAGTTTGTCTGCTAAATACTAGCAATCCTAGCACAGTAATCTAGGTTTGAGGGATTAAAGACCTATACTTCAGTATACTTCAGCTCCTTCTTCCAGTTTAGTCTTCCATGTAATTCCAGGGAACACTGTTGTCCAGTAGTTTTGCTTATCCTGCTTACTGCTCATGGTCCTTAAGGGGCTCACAGCATTCTCTATACTTCCCACACTCTTGTTCAGCAACACTTCAAATGTCCTGTGTTCTCTGCTCCCAGTTTTTTGTTTGTTTGTTTGTTTTGTTTTTGTCGTTAACTTTTGCCTCCAGGCTCTTAAGGTCATATTTGTAAAAATGTCAGAGTACATGGGTCTACAACTAGATTCCTTCTTCTTTGTGTGACAGCAGTTTTTAGTGTTTGTTTTAGTTTATTTTTCCAAAACAATGGGCTAGAGGAAATTTGCATTTGAGGTTCTTTCATTATGAGAAATTGACCTGAAGCCTAAGAATCAATGCTATGACAATATTAATGTGTTCATGTTTATAAAGTATTAAATTTTTGATTCCCTTGTAGAAGATCTATGGAGTATTCATGATCTAGAATCAAGATACCAGGAAAGCCAAGCTGGAAATTCAAGGCAAGTTCAAGAATTAATGTTTAAGATTAAAGATTTGTAAGCAAGAGTCTTGAAGGAGTTACTGGAAATAGGAGGACACTAGTTAATACTAACTATGAGAAAACTGACACTGCAGAGCAAATCCCGAGGAATATAATCCAAATGGGAATACCCCTTTTCATAGAAACTTTGTGCAGGATCAGGAGACTGAAGCTTTGAAGTAGTCTTTTTACTCTTCTGAATTAAATAATAAAGGGAGTCTTTATTACACAAAACAGAAAGCAGGCAATTGAGAGACCCTGTAAATAGAATGCAGATGCAGATTCACCTTACTAAGTGTTAAACTACAGTGCAGGTCAGAGAATTCACAGTGGAGAAACCCTATGGAACCAATAAATATGGGAGCATCTCTAGAAATCAGTCCTCAGAGGTACTTGGAAAATACACCTAGTGGGGGGAAAAAGCCTTAAAAGTCTTACACATTAGTGAATGTGGAACTTTCTGTCTAGGAAAGTTAAACATCAGAAAACTCGTACCACAGAGAAAGCCTATGAATGTAAGGAATGTGGGAAGTTCTTCTGTCAGAAGTCTGCCCTCATAGTACATCAGCATACTCACTCAAAGGGCAAATCCTATGACTGTGATAAATGTTGGAACTCTTTCTCCAAAAATGAAGACCTCACAAGACATCAGAAAATTTACACGAGAGATAAAACCTACAAGTGTAAAGCATGTGAGAAAATATTTTACCACCTATCATCTCTCAGTAGACATCTGAGAACCCATGCAGGAGAGAAACCCTACGAATGTAATCAGTGTGAGAAATCCTTCTACCAGAAACCACATCTCATAGAACATCAGAAAACACACACAGGGGAGAAACCTTTTGAATGTACTGAATGTGGGAAGTTCTTCTATGTGAAGGCATACCTCATGGTACATCAGAAAACACACACAGGGGAGAAACCCTATGAGTGTAAGGAGTGTGGGAAAGCCTTTTCCCAGAAGTCACACCCCACAGTACATCAGAGAACACACACAGGGGAGAAACCCTATAAATGTAAGGAATGTGGGAAATTCTTCTCTAGGAATTCACACCTCAAAACTCATCAGAGAACTCACACAGGAGAGAAACCCTATGAATGTAAGGAATGTAGGAAATGCTTCTACCAGAAGTCAGCCCTCACAGTACATCAGCGAACTCACACAGGGGAGAAACCCTTTGAATGTAATAAATGTGGGAAAACCTTTTACTATAAATCAGACCTCACTAAACATCAGAGAAAACACACAGGGGAGAAGCCCTATGAATGCACAGAATGTGGCAAATCTTTCTCTGTGAATTCGGTCCTCAGATTACATCAAAGGACTCACACAGGAGAGAAGCCCTATACATGCAAGGAATGTGAGAAGTCCTTTTTTCGGAAGTCACATTTTATTATACATCAGAGAAAACACACAGGGGAGAAGCCCTATGAGTGTCAGGAGTGTGGGGAAACCTTTATCCAGAAGAAGTCACAACTCACTGCACATCAGAAGACACACACAAAGAAGAGGAAGGCTGAGAAGCAAGATGAGTTGAGAAATTCTCTTGACTGAATTCATCCTTCAGAACAATCAGATAATTCACACAAGAGGTACACCTTATGAATGGCCTCAATATAGGAAAATTTTCACCTACAATCTTTGCTCTTTCTGTGTATCAGCAAATACATAGAGAGAAATTCTGTACATTTATTTGGGAGAAAATTTTATCATATTGTAGACTTTTGTAAATCCCAGATAATATAAATGGCAGAAGTCATGCAAATTGTAAAACAGGAGGGAAGCCTTTCAGAAGTCATACTTTTGTTCTGCAACATAGAAATCACACAGGAGAGATCTCCTGTAAGTAAAACGAATGTCAGTACATTTTCTGTCAGGGCAGCCAGCTGTAGACATCCAAAAGTTCAAGAGTGAGAAGCTCCTTGAGTATCCAGAAATCTCTTTACACAATTGGAGCTCATATACTAGAGAATTCAAAGGGATAACTGCAAAGACAGTGGTAGATATAGAAACCTTTATTAAGAATTGCTGTTTCATTCAATGTCAGATTACTGGTACTTGGATAGATATTTTAAATATTTGGGAGGTGTTCAACAAAAATTCAAATAATTTGTACTGAGGGAAACAGTTATACTAGAAATCATGTCGCCAATCTGATGCCAAGATTGTTCTATTTTAAAAGGAAACCTGCAAATGTCTACATATATGAAGCTTTTAAAAAGCACAAATTATCAGGCAATATCATTAAACATACATTAAATGTCTTTTAGTATATAGGACTTTGTATGTGAGTGTGCTATAACATGTAACTTACGGATGTTCAACATGCATGTGGAATCCATCCATAATTGTACATATGGAATATGTAACCTTAGTTCAGTGACCATTATGTGTATGAAGATGTTGCACATTAAGTCTCACTAGTGACTCTTGTTAATATTTGTATTGTAAGTGTAGTATTCCTTTTAAATTATAAGGCTTCTTTTTCTCCTATTTTTTGGTGTTTGTAAATGGATATAGACAGTGGTACTAAACTAATCCTTCAAAAAGAAGTTAAAATGTTTTTGTAAAATTTTCAAATGTCAGCCAAGTTTTGCGTTAGGAACACATTTATATATAGCAAAAGCCTGAGCTGTTTTTAAACAGCTAAAAACAGTAATATTTATTACAATCTATACAGTGAAAACAAATAGTGTAATGTAAGAAGTATTATGTATCTTACTGTTGATGTGTGAGCAGGGAGCAGAGCTATCTGCATTTGTATTTTGTCTGAGAGTCCTAAGTGTTCTTCACCAACATTTTCTTCCTCATAGAAGCAACATGACATAGTTAAGGGTGTGAACTCTGTACTCCTGCTGCCTGGGCCCCAATTCCAGCCTGGGGCATGCTACTCTGTGTGCCTCATTTCCCTTCCCATAAAAGAGTAGTGATAGTGACAACATCTTAGGATTGCTTTGAGGTCTAAATGAGTTGAAATTTTCAAAGCACTTAGAATAGTGTCTGAGACACAAGAGCTATATGTTAGAGGCTATCATCATCATTATTTGTATTTTGTGAATTACGCTGCAAAAAAAAAAAAAAGTTGGCTACCCAACAATCATCCCCCACCTTCTTGCTGCCAGTGCCTTGATTTGGTTGTTTGTTGTTTGTTTTCCTAGAAGTGATTTAGGGGCAGATCCTGACTATGCTAAGTCAGGGTTTGACAAATGATGGTCCATCAGACAGATCTAGCCCACTACCCATTTTTGTATCCTGCAAGCTAAGAATGATTTTATATTTCTAAATGGTTGAAAAAAAATCAAAGAATATTGTGACACATGAAAATTATATGATATTCAAATTTCAGTGTCCATAAATAGAGTGTTGAAAACACGAATACAAACAAAAACATCTGTTTATGTTTGACCTGTGGCTGTCTTTGCACTACCCCAGCAGAGTTGAGTAGTTGTGGCAGACACCTTATGCCCTTGAGCCTATGATCTAGCACTTTACAAAGTAAGTTTTTCTTTTACTTACAATTGAAAATAAAAGCAATGTAGAGTTATGCTTTTATAAATATTGCATGTTTCAGAAATGATGCATACAGCAATTTGTAGGTGGATAGGTTTTTTTTGCAGTATATTTATTTTGTGCATTATATTTATATGTTAAGAGCCTGAGCTTAGAAGTACTTTTTCAAAGAAATGTGTTTTTTACTTGCTGACTTGTCATAACATCAAAACAAGAAATTTCTTGATGGAATGTAGCAGTAAAATATGAAATAAACATTGTCTAAATTAAATTGAAGCAATTCTTGTGCCTCAGCCTTCCAAGTAGCTGGGACTACAGGCATGCACCACCATACCTGGCTAGGTTTTGTATTTTTAGTAGAGATGGGGTTTCTCCATGTTGGCCGGGCTGGTCTTGAATTCCTGACCTCAAGTGATCTGCCCACCTCAGCCTCTCAAAGTACTAGGATTACAGGCATGAGCCACTGTACTCAGCCCACGTCTTCTTTGTTCATTCATCTGTTGATGGACACTTAGGTTGCTTCCAAATCTTGACTATTGTGAACAGTGCTGCAATAAACATGGGAGTCCAGATATCTCTTCAATATACTGATTTCCTTTCTTTTAGGTATATACCTAGGAGTGTTGAACTGTACAGTAGCTCTATTTTTAGTTCTCTGAACCATTCTCCATAGTGGTTGTATAAGCTCAGTTTTGGATACATTATGTGCAAATTTGGATACATTTCTGCAAAATGGAAAAGGAGAGTAGTCATTTGGAAATACAAGTTTGAACCTTGGGGAAAAGCTCATACGATAGGTAGTTACAGATTCTGATAAGAGACTCATCACTATACACACAGACAAAGTTCCTAAATGAAATCACCAGAGTAGGTAAACTCATCCAGAGATAGCATACAGTCAGGGAAGGAAAGAGGTCCAAATGATGTCAAATGTTGTGACAAGATGAAACAGTGTGAGAACAAAAGGAGGCTGCTGAGTTCTGCGAGCAAGTCATCACAAACGAGAGCCTTTCATTGGGATGGTGGACACAAAGCTTGGCTATAGTGGCTCACAATGATGAAAGGAGTAGAAGAAAGACTGTTGAGGTAGTTTGATGGTAAAGAAAAAAAAGGCACAGAGAGTCTGAAGAAGAGATAAGCTTAAAGGAATTTTTATCTTAGGATGGAGAAAACCTGAACATATGTACAAAGAGTCACTAGGAACAGACAAAATATAGATGTATATGCCCAGAGACCTGCCTCTGAAATAGCAGGGAATGTGGTGAGGACTAGTACAGACTACAGATAAATTGAGACATAAAAGGTAAATTCCTTATTGAGTTTATAAGGTGGGGTAGAGTAACAAGTTTGAAGAGAATGAAAGTCTGGAATGGCTGCTGTAGAAAAAAATGAATGGCAGTCAACCAGAAGAGAATAAAAAGGTTTCAGGATAGGATTGAGAGCCAAGCTGTGACTGGAGCTCATAAATCTGTAATAGAGTCAGTCAGCACAGTGTTATGGAATGGCACTCAGTAGCTCAGTGGAGACAATGAACACAGGTCCAGCAATGGGGATAGAAAAGACAGGTGTGGAAGAAAAACAGAGATCTGAGAATGCCAGTATAAGCCCTGTTGTAAGTGATAGATCAGGAAGCACTGACACCATAAAGGGGCTGATAGACTGGGAAATAGTGGAGAACAGGTTTAATGTGCATATAGAAAAAGAGTAGTGGAAAAAAGGAGGTTGTGACCAGATTCTGGGATGTCTAAGAGGAATAGAGCAATTGCACATCACCTGAAATACCCTCCCCAAAACACTTAGTCATCTATAAGACCAAAACTGGTGAGGCACAGTGGCTCACACCTGTAATCCCAGCACTTTGGATGGCCAAGGAGAGAGGATCATTTAAGCCCAGGAATTCACGACCAACCTGGGCAATATAGTGAGGCCTTGTCTCTATTAAAAAAAAAAAAAAAAAAAAAAAAAAGACCAGAATTGATGCCATGATGACTTGACTTTCAGGCCATGCTCTGATATATAAACTAGTTCTTCAAATGGGGCTGACACCTCACACGTTGTTTGAAGGGAATTCCAATGAGAGAGTGGCAGGGTGAAGTTCTCCTCTAAGCTTCTTCCTTCCTTAAGATTTGATCTGGATCCCTGGGTGCAATATCTATAACTTCAATAACTTTTCTTTTTATTGACTAGGACATTATGAGAGTTCTCATGTATGTGGAGTTGCTAAAAATAAAAGTTTAAGAAATTACTGGCCGGGCGTGGTGGCTCGCACCTATAATCACAGCACTTTGGGAGGCCAATGCAGGTGGATCACCTGAGTTCAGGAGTTTGAGGCCAGCCTGACCAACATGGTGAAATCCCTGCCTCTACTAAAAATACAAAAATTAGCTGGGTGTGGTGGCGGGCACCTGTAAGTTACTCAGGAGTCTTAGGCAGGAGAATCACTTAAACCTGGGAGACGGAGCTGGCAGTGAGTCGAGATCATGCCATTGCACTCCAGCCTGGGCAACAGAGCAAGACTCCATCTCAAAAAAAGGAAAGAAAAAAAGAAAGAAAAAGAAATTGCCTAATTACTGACTTGGTGATTCCCTCAGGGTCTTGGAACTAGCCAATGTAGGACAACTGTCACTGTCCTTTCCAGAGCCTTGGATCTTTCTCCCATTGGTAATGTACAACAGTAAGGGCAACCTGCATAAGAAGTGTATTAAACAGAGGCAGAAGTTGGGGTCTGCAAATAACGTAAGTAACCTCCAGGATGAGGGTGGGAAAGTGAGTTTACTTCCTTTCACTGCAAATGGAGGGATTAAATCTAATCCTTGAGCCCCTACCTCACAAGGGCAGGAAACCCTAAACAAGTCACCTGCTCATTCTCTACAGATCTGCCGTCCCTTTTCTCCTATTGTCCTGGCCTGATACAGAAAGAAAAAGAGATTCCAATCTTCTCCAAGATGTTACAAATAAATCAGACATTGCCACCAAAAAGTGTATCTTTGATATACCAAAACGTATATCAAAAGCTAGCTTGTATCAGTGATTCACTCTAAGAGCCCCATCTTCCTTCCAAACCTTTTCCTATTGCCCAAAGACAAGCAGTACAATGGTTATGAAAAGTAACTTCTGATCTTAAGGTACATTGATAGAAAGAATAAATATTCAAGGGTTAGTTGGCTATCGTGATAAGCATCTGGAATGTGGTTACCACATTTAGCCTGATCTGCCATTCTATTTGGACTGAGATGGACCCTCCTGTGTACGATAGAAAAAGTAACTCCAAATGTGTGTTTAATGCAGCTCTGCTTTACCTTCACTCTGGTCACCGCCTTCCTTTGCTCACTTAATTGTCCCAGTAAAGTAGGTCAGCACCTTGTGTAACAAGTTGAAAGGAGAGCTAAGACCAAGCCTATCACTCCAACAGACTTGGAGAGGTACAGGGTGTAGGGGACATAGTTCAGGCTTGGTAGCCAGATATGCTCAGATTTGAAAACTCAAGAGTAGCTCCATCTTTCACTGGCTATGTGACCTTGGTTGGGTAAGTTTCTTTGCCCTCTGCTACAGTATTCACAACTATAAAGTGGGAGTTATGGAGGGGCCTCTGTGGAACACCGCAATGGCTACATACCCCCAGCTCCAAGGGCCATCATGCAGTTGTTGTGAGGGTTAAAACACCTGACACATCAAGGGCACTTAGGAAAGGGCAGCCCATTCTGGTTTTATTCCAGTTTCATTTGTTCAGTCATTCTTGGAATGGCCAGTTGTATTCTGAAGCACTGAACCTTAGCCCTAAGCAAAGCAGTCCAAGCTCATGACAGATATATTCCCAGAGATGTCAGCCAGAAGGCCAAGGCATTGGAGACCCCTTATTTTCTTCTCTGAAGTTTGTCACAGCTGACAGATGATGAATGGGTATGCATCAGTCCAAGTGACACCACAGAATCCATTTGATTTTCTGTTTCTCATTTTAACCTCTTGAGCTTGGCTCTTTCCCTCTGTCTGTGGACAGCCCCCCACCCCCTCCATCTCTCCACCCATTTCTCCCCAACCCAATCCCTGACCCCAATCACATCCCCCACTCACTTACAATCACAGATATGTGGAGGATGTGCATCTGCTCCTCAACAATCTCTGAGGGCTCTTGGAGGGTGGGGGCGGTGACTTGGGCCAGCTGCCTGGAGCTGCTCATGGAGACGTGGAAGTACAAGGTGCTATTCTCCAGCCACTGCTGTCTCCAGTGCACCAGCAAGATGTCCGCCACCATGCCAGACATCTCTGCAAGACAAGACCTGAGGCACTGGGTGAGCTGTACACCTGGTCTTGGTGCTGCAGGGAGGAAGAGAACCCACATAATCAGGAGCTCAGAGGCACCTGTTTTTTGCCAGGATGCCTTTCCTCACATCAAGTCCATGAGACAGGGATCATCACTTTCATTTATAGATGGGTCAACTGTGACCAAGATTCGCCTAAAGTAACAGAGTAGTGGAGGCAGGGTTTGCACCCAGATCTGCCTGAGCCCCTTTTTAATACACCATGCATGATCAGGTAATTCATTCTACTCTGATAGTGGAATAAAACTAAGGATAATATGCTTTCATTCTTTTGAGGCTATGGAACTAGAAGAAGACAAAGGAAAGAAATCCATGAAAGGAGTGGGAGTTCAGAGTGTGGATTCTTTAGAAGTTGAGCTGGAAGTACTCATGTCCAAACCTCACAGCCAGAAAGGCCTAAAAGGGCACCAGCTCAGCTGAGGTAGCTGAGGGTCATCTTGCACAGGAAAGGAGCTTGGCAAGAGGGTTGCCCTGACCGTGTTCCTCGTGCTTCCACGAAAGCAGCTCCATTTTTTTGTAAGTTATATAGTGTACTCCCAAGCAAGAGAATGTTGGCACAAAGGTTTCCTTGGCTAAAAAATACTTGCAAAGCTACTGCCCCATCCCAACATTCTCATATAGCCAGTGGGGTTGAGGACTTTCTAGTAAATTATAAAATTCAATCTCCTGACTTGAAGTTTCTTACTCTTATCTCTATGCTAGTATTCCTTCTGTAAATAGTTTTAAAATGATTATCATTTGAATAGTATTTTTGTTCAATGTGTCATACCTTTTTATTAGTGAAAAAGGGTGATGGCATAAGGTGCCAAAAGTGTCATCACAAGGGATTGTACAATTGTTCCACAGTTCCCCTCGACTAAAGGGGTGTGTACCTGCAAATATCCTAGAAAGACAAGGCCTATCAGTGCATCTTATGGATGAATACAAGAGAAGGGTGGTGGAGTTCTTGGAGGATTG